GATCGCAAAAGGTAGGTGTAAAGCAACAACCATTCATGCAGTTAATGACCTGGGTACTTCAAGTCCAGTGCAAAAACGCATGATCGCACGGGCCCGCCCGGTGCGTTTCAATCTGGGTTGCATAGCTCCCCACAGCTTTTGCGCTAGCGACATCGGTTTTTCCGGCAAGTGCTTTTAGCTTTTCAGGTTCGTGAGTAAGCAACTTACCTGAAAAAAAAACTTTGGCGGGACCGTGTGTGGGTAACATGCATACTCGGAGGCTAACTTTGAGTCCGTTTATACCTACTTGGACGAAGACCGTCCCCTTAAAATTCTAGCGTCCTAACTTTTCAGGCCCACAAGTTAGCAACTTACTCGAAAAAACTTTGGCGGGCCCATAAGTGGGTACCACGTGGATAAGAGCGCCTGTTTTGGATTAATTTTCCAAAATTTCAGTTCTGTAGCTTTTGTAGCTCTCCAGATGAAAAACTGGTAAAGACGAACACACAGACAGACGACCCTCGTAAATAAGCGTTTTCTGCACTGGATAGATGCAAAAACGGCAGATACATCTTTTATAAACGAAACAACAAATCAGAGAATTACCTTGGGAACGGCAAAAAGGGCAAGCTGCTGCAGCGATTTCTGATACGTCTTGTCCAGCGGCTTCTTCAGCTCCCTGTATTTAGGCTCGTCTAGCTTCCGTTGCTTCGCATTATTACTCTGATTCCCACCGCCTTTTGGTGTAGATTTTTCTTTACTTGTTGTATCACGAACCTTCAAACAAATTTCATACAGAAATGCTCAACAGCACTTTAAATTAGGTTTCAAATAAATAAGCAATCAAAAAGATTAACGCCAAATCTCTTTTTGCTTTCGATACTCTTTATGCTTTGAATTTTTCGTCAGAAAAGCTTTACTTTTTAAAACTAGTTTTCCAAAAACCACAAATCCTCGGATCTCGGACCACTCAGCAGAAATTGATAACAAATAGCCCACCTGATATCGAGCACACAGTGCCAACGCGAAAAGTGTGGGATCCTGCTTTGGAGCTC